CCCCAAAACCCCAAAACCCCAAAACCCCACTATTCTAAAACCTTAAAAATATAGCTAAATATTATCAAAACAATAAAATACTATTATCACCAGACCAATAAAATTTTGTTAGATAAGCGATGATCAAAGGTCTTCCTATTCTTGATTAGTTAATCAATTAAGATATTTATTCTGTATTTTCTAAGTGATTTCCTCTAGAGCATTTCTGATATTTTTAGAACTTTGGCTTGTTGATGCTGGTGTACTAATATTTCCTGATTATCCTCCCATGCTTGTTCTTCTTACTGGTTAATACTCATTTTTTCTGCGTTCTTAAGAGGTATCTACTCTATACTTTTGGAAGGAACCGTTATTGTAGTCATAGCTCCCTGATACATTTTGATTATTTTACTCATATGAACCATTAGTAATGCCATTATACTAGTTTCTATCTCTACTAGACTATCTAGAGTGATTAGGCATTTCCCTTCCCTATGAAAGATTGGTATAATGCTAGCGAAGTGAACTAATCTTTGCACTATTATTTTCACCATTTCTAAAACTCTCCATCGACTACCTTACTTGATTATAATCTGGGATTGGTTTTGTTGTTGTCTCTTGGTTTCTGAGAATAGGAGGTTTTAGATAAGTTTTTTCTCTTGAAGGGGGTAATAATGCTTCTTTTTATTAAGTTTGAGCTTTCCTAAAAGACAAGGGAGGTTAGTTTTAAGTTTACTGATTCGTTGGTGTGAATCGCTTACTATCAGGAATCATTTGATAGTTTTTATCAAGCAACTTTGGCTTCTAAAAGTTGTCGTTGCTTAAATATATCTCGTTATTTTTATAGTTTTCTAGATTATACTTAGTTTGCTCTCTTTGCTAAGGCAACGAATCTCTTGATTAAGAAGTTCCACTGACTCTTCGTGAACTTTCTGGTCTTCGAGTAGCATGATTACTAATCTTGGGTGAGTCTTCAACATAGCTTTTCTCAGTTTTAATGAGCGGTGTAGTTGACAGCTAAAGTTTCTATTATCTCGCCAAAAGTTTTTCTTCCATTTCTTTTAGTTATAAATCTTTTTCATCAAGTTCTTTCATTATTTTTTCTATTTCAGCTTCTCTTTTCTTGATCATTTTATCTTTTTTCATTAATTCCTCTTCTTTTCTCTGACTCTGCGATATTATTTCCTTCATTTGATTTTCCTTCAGGAAATGACTAATCTTTGGGATAGTCATTAGATCATCAACACTTGGTCTTTGATCTTTTTCTAAGCTCATCATAGATTAGATGACTTTAAACAATTCATCTGAATACTATGTAGGGATTCTTTCTATTTTACCTGATTTAATTTTCATTGCTAATTAAATCTGATTAGTTGCTTCAAACGGAGCTCTAAGAGCTGAGAGCTCATATATTACACAGCCAGCAGACCATATATCACTCTTTTCATTGTATTTCTAGTCCGAAATTTACTCAGGTGACATATAGTAAGGTGTTCCTACATGTGTCTAGGCGTAGACTGATTCTTCTCCCATCATTCTAGATAGCCCAAAATCACCGATTCTTACATTCCCTGAGGAATCGAAAAATACATTACCCGGCTTTAAATCTCTGTGAAGGATTCTATTTCCTTCCTTTTTACGATGGCAAGAGTATAAGCCTGAAACAATCTAGGCTAATATCTTCCAAATTTTCTCTTCAGAAACGAATTCTTTATCTCTCTTATGTTTCTTGATAAGAGCAGCCATATCTCCACCTTCACAGTACTCCATCACAATGTAAATTTTTGCTTAGTCTTTGTCTATGATTCTATCATAATAGCGGACAATATTAGGGTGTTTTAACTCTCTTAAAATATTCACTTCTGATACAAGCTGCTGCTTTTCCTTGTCTGACATTTTCCCGTAATTTAACTCTTTCCAAACAAGAACCTTGCCATCTGCCTTTCTTTTAATTTTACTTACTGATCCGAAGCTACCTTTGCCGATCTCTTAAATTTTCTCGTAATTATCCATTTTAAATATGAATTGATGTTTAATGTCTATGTTAGGGTTCCTTATTTAATTTGAATTTGAAATTATTTACTTGTTTTATTTCCGATTTATATTCAAAGAATTAGCACAATTTTTGCTATCAAGTTTTCATGGGGTTTTGGGGTTTTGGGGTTTGGGGTTTTGGGG